GATAGATGATATGACCTTCAAAGAAATGGACACAAAGAGATGACAGAATAACTTTCAGAGAGAAAACAACCAATCAGAAGACGCTGATTCTCTGCTAACAATAACATATAGGAATGTACATGAAAATCTACTGATATCTGTTGATTTTCTCAATAAACGATTTCCTGCCTGCCACTTGTCTACTGTGGTTACAATAGTGATATGTATCCACACATATATATATTTATTGTGTGTGTGTGTATGTTGGTCTCTCTTTCTGTTTGCTCGCTTAGTCTGTGACCATTTCACTTGTGTGAACTTGTCTCCTTTAACAATGTATATTCTCCTTGTATTATATATAATATAATATGAGTGTTTGTTGACAGTCCGTTGCTTGGTGACATATATCCATATATGGTGGTTGTTGACATGTCTGATATATTTCGCTATGTATATATGGACCGATACTTCATTATAATTAGCCATTCATGTTAAGACTGTCTAATGATTTGTTCACACCCTTGTCTGAACATTCATATATATTTCGCTCTCACAATTTGTGTGACTGACCACTTACTTTGGTGTGATACCACTTTTGCATTCTCCTTGTGTTTGGAAATAGAAGTATCATCGCAAACCTAGTGGTCTTCTGATTTCCGCCTTCTTGCGTCAGGACTATTAGTTTCTCGACCAGTCCATAACACTAATTTAGCGACGAGTACATAACAAATAGTAATACTAATAATAGTGGCAATAATAATAACAGTGTTAAGACCACTTAGGATTACGTTAATGATAAAGGTTGGTTCTAAGTGAATCAGAAATGGTAATAATAAGCGGTAAAATAAAATATTAATAATAATATTATCATGATAGATTCAGAGTGACGACCATCTCCTTTTGTGTACACAGAGACCTGGTTTATAAACTCTAATTTCACAAGCCTCAGTAATTGCAAGCATCTTCCTGACTGACGCTAACTGACTTCGCAGCGTCAATGTCATGCGCTTTGTTATTGAACTTTTAAGGACTTTGACTTCACGCTATTTTCAACTACCATGGCAAATGCACCATCATGTGAGTAGACAATCAGGTTCCCGTACGACTTATGTATTTGCTTCCACAAACACACTCAAATTAATATACGTAGTGTCGAGGATTTGGGACTTGTCTTTCCCAGATTGTCGAAGTACTTGCTTGGTGGTGGTGTAAACGAAGATGACTTGCGCATAATAAGTTCTCTTGTTAGCTTTATCGAGTCTTCGTTTAACTACCTACCTTGTCTTGTCGATTTCTAAGAAAATATTCAATCTAACATACTAAATTAGGAAGTTAGTCTTTCCTGGGCTACGGAGAAAGGACTAGGTCATATTACCAAGGGTATAAAAGGTGGTTAGTGGGGCAAGTGGTGTGCCACTTTATTCGGCTTGTTACTACTGTAATCCACAGACACTTAAACTCCTGTGATGAATGGTCAAAATCCATATTGTATTGACTCTCAACACCTCACCCTCTCTATTCACAAGTCTCCCCGCTATGCAACTCATCAGGTGGGACTAAAAGTCATTATAAAAGATTACATGCTTGCACGATAACAGCAGAAGGCAAGACACGGAAGCCAAGGTATATATATATTGTTCTGTTGCTGATGCACTATTGAACTGTGGGAATAGTATTCAGACGTTAACACCATCATATACAATGATTCTTACTATGAGAATAATACTCCGTTGGAACCCATTGTCTGTATCACACGACCACAGTACAAAAACTTAACGATACCCTGTTTGGCCCACCCACGTTCCAAATGACAGATAAAGTTAAAGTTAGGAGCGAAATCTACGAGACTTATTACGTCATCAGTAATGTAATTGACTCTTTTATTCTTTTCTATTTGTAATCCATGGTGACACTATATCAGTTATCACCTTATACTTTTAACTATTGACATTATTATCATCATCATTATTTTACACATTTTGTACATTTTTGACTTTGTTTTCACTGTAATAACAAAAGAGGAGTACGTCGGCCAGGGATCGAACCCCGGACCATGTGCATGGTCGGCGAGCATCCTAACCGCTGTGCCACCTACTAGGTCAGGTCCGGTTAGTATTCGTTAATACATCATGGCTCTTTCGGTGGGATCTAAGAGATCAGTAGCTCAAAATGTTATCAGAGTATGCCTGTGAGTCAGTCGTACTTACTTACCTATTTAAGATAAGATAAATAGAAACTTGTCACCTAGTGTAAGCGTACATGTAACATGTCAAAAAGTCATTATCATTATTCATCACTCGGGTTCTGAATGGAGCATACAGCTTCGGTAGCATATCTCTTTTGCGTTCTATTCTTATGGCTGATACCACGACTTCTCACAAGCTTATATTTCGTCTTTATATTTCATGTCATCCCCTAACGCCTAACTTCTCGCTCCTCATTACATTACGGTTCAGTTCGTTGGCACAGCGTTTGATGTCACACCCAATAGTTACCTCGGTATATACGTCCAGTTAATATTCATTCCCTTCTGAAAATTTTCTAGGTAATCGGTATTGGCTCGTTTATTGCATCCTAGAGTTTCTTGATGTCTATTCTTTCTGGCGAGAAATGTGGTCTTCAATAACAAGCAAGTATACAACTTGTTGGGAATACTTTTGAACTATTTTTGTACACTTCTCCACATTCATCACAGACAGAGTCATAAATGCATGTCTTACTCTACTCATTCGCAGTTATCAGTCTTTCCTTACCCTGGTAACCGGATGTCTTTACTCCCTCTCTCTCTTTCATTTGATTACGTAATACTTAACTTTAAACCCCTTCCTACTTTGACGCTGTGTAACTTTTCTTGTCTCTTCTTTGTGTGATTGAAGTAAAACTCACTAAACCGTTATTCAATTTATTAGTTACTCATCATTTTACTCACCTCTTGTCTTTACCACGTAACTCGCCTATCATTTTATGCATAAGTTGATTTCATCTAAACTTGAACTTTCTAGGTAAAAACTATATAAGTTTAATTTTCCTGAGTACTGTTCATTAAGTGTACAGCTTTTTTCTGCCTAAAATATCATGTAAAATTTGCAAGTATATTAAAATTATTTCTCCTGTACATAAACTTAATAACTTTCCTTAGGTTTTAAGCAACTGACGAGAAGCCGACAAAATCAGCAATAATGGTACTATTATTCTATTCTACACACACCGTCATCGTTGTTCTTGTTTTATTCAAATTCACTGAAGGGCGAATAAGCGTCAATGGAATACTCACACATGTGTCATCAGCAGTCCGCTCCGTCCTCCTCTATGGCTGTGAGACCTGGCCACTGAGAGTGCAAGACATGAAAAGATTAGCTATCTGTTTTGATGTGGTTTTGTTCTCTGAGCTGGATAGTTAGTTTGCGAAGCTTTCATCACCTTACTGGGTGACATCTTCAGCGCATACTTCAAATTGAAGTGAGCTTTTAGGTTTCTCCACGAGTTTATTAATCATTCCTCCTGGTGACCTTGAACGTGATTGGTTGTTTATGTATGTTTTCACACCTTCTAGGTTACTTGTGTTGGAACTGATTGTTTCTGTGACTTGAACTTTGGCCAATCGTGTGTGAAGTTTTTTTTTCTTATTGGTTGATAAATTTTGTCTATCTCGATGTGTCTATTGATTGATGATTCACTGGAATGCCAAGCTTCTAAAAATTCTCTAGCATTCTTGTTATTTCCTTTGTCTAATATTTGAACGTTGTCCCAGTCGAATTGATGTCCGTGGTTGTCTGTGTGTAGTGAAATGAGGGAGTGTATATCATGTCTTTTGACGGCTAGCTTATGTTCGTGGATACGAAGACTATCTGTCTTTGATCATAGGTGCCTGCGTTCTAGCTCCCGTGTGAAGTGGTATAATAAGGTGAGCAATATTGAGGTTAGGCTTCGGTCGAGTGCTAGGTAAGGAGGGGAAATCAGTAGACGATTCTGTTAAGCTACATTGACTGAGATGGCTAGGACATGTGTTACGTATGCCCAGTCATCGCCTTCCCCGACAACGGGCAATGTTAGCTGACATAGGGTCAGGCTGGAAAAGAGCTAGCGGCGGTCAAACCTAAACATGGCACTACTCAATGAAATCCACAACAGTTAGCTTAAGCCAGTGACGTAGGAAGGTGTAGACTTCCTGACTGGTTGGTGTCCTCGGTACGGTAAAAACCAATGGTTGGAAACAATTGATGATATGGCTCAAAGTGATTGTTCTCAGTGGCTGGCACAGATGCATCCACTCCTTGTGACTTATGATTTCCAATGAAACTGTTTTGTTCTTCGTTATTACTATTCCTTTGCCTCACACCTCTGTTTACTGTCACTATTATGCATTTCCTCTCTTGCTTTGTGTGCTACATGTTGGGAGTGTGGCGACTTGAACTGCCGCACATCGGTGCACAGTTCCATGTCGAAAACAGACAGACAGACTTGAAGTTGATGCAACGATGTCACCTAGTCACACAGTCAGGATAAATGAAAGACGAGGAGGACGACGACGACTTTATTAGGCCAGAAGATAATCACAGTATTAGAAGAAAAACCCGGCCGACAACTGCTGCCTTGTCGTGGTGGTCGGGCTTGAATACCGCAGTGATCCAACAAGCTAAACTGGCAGGAACTCATGCCCCTGCAGGTCCTACCATGTCAGGAAGGTTGTTTGGATAGCAGTTAAACTAAAAGCAGTTACCGTGGGGTACATGGGCTGCAGTATCCAATCGGATCAAATGGCGTATGAACCCATATGGGTCACCGGAAACCATGAGAATGCAGCTCCTGACGCTGCTCCACTGCCTTGCGGATTAGACTCCAAATCAAATGCTCGAGGGGTGGTCCCTTAAGAAAACCACCTGCTTCGGTCTGGGCGCCCGGGCAGTCTCTCTCAGCCCTCACACAACAAATGAAATTTAGTGTGGTGCATCTTTCTTGGTGCCATATTGTACCAAGTATTTTTTCTGCGTTTAAATAAATAAAATAAATAAGAAAAAAAGCAAAACCAACAATCTTTTTCTCTATCTGTTTTTACTTATCCATCTTTTATCTAATTTTCCAAAATAACAGGAGTACAAAAACAAAATCAGAAAATGTAGAAACATGCACACTCCGAATAAGATGAAATGGCAGGGGCATTGACTTCCATAAAAATGTATCTTTGATAATACACACTGATCGATACATATTAGAGATTGGAAAGGCCACAGATAACCATCACACATACACACACACATACACACACACACACACAGCATATGAGGGACCTAGCTGCCTGTGACTTCTTTATACACTGTACAATCAATATTCAAGCCTAATTTATACAACTGATCAACAAAATATGGTCTACCATAACGTTGAAAGTGTAAGGCATCTTCTTCATTGAATTTACAACTGGCTAATGGATCCGCACCGGTGATATTACGCTTAGTAACCACTTCTATAGGCATTCCATTGGCTATAGCCAATTCAGGCTTTGAAATTATCATTGTATGCTCAAATTGTGCTGATCTCAAACCATCTGTGGTTACAGCAGTCCAATTGTCTGGCCATAATTCATCATGCCAAGTGCCTTCATTTATCATTGGTTCAATAGTAAAACAATGTCCAGGTTTCATGATACCAACAGCTTTATTGCCTACAGAAAAAAAGAAAAGAAAAAATAACGAATAAAAGCTTTCGATTGAACACTAGTTAGTAACTAGTGTAATGTGTCTAGTCAGTCCTTTCTTTGGTGCAGACTGAATTCTATCAGTCAGTTAGGTTTGCAATGTGGCCACCATTTTAGGTAGCTCGCCATCACGGTGCACATTGATTTGATGATATTAGATGGTTAGAGGCGATCGGAAGGGAGCCCTACCTTTCCTAGATTTCGTATTAGTGGGCACTCGTTAGCAAGGCGTATCTACAACCACTGAAGGAACTCATGTCCCTTCTGGGGTTCGAAGCCACATCACCCAGTGCTGCAGTCAGAGACGTTACCACTGAGCTATTCGGGTTCGCAATTGACCTCCTATGGGACTGTACCGGGTACTTTCGTTGGACACTGGTAACTAGTGTGATGTGTCTAGCCAGTCCTTTATTTGGTGCAGACTGAATTCTATCAGTCACGTTGGCTCGCCATCACGGCGCACTTTGAATAGTGCATAATAGATGGTTGGATGCAATCAGCAGGCAGCCTTGAGCTTGCAGCACTTGGCGACGCATGTTCGAATCTCAGAAGGGACATGAGTTCCTTCAAGGTGGTTGCAGACAAGCCTTGCTGACGAGTGCCAACTAGTACGAAACCTAGGTCCCAGTAAGGCTTCCTGCCAATTACCTCCAGCAGAAATTTACTGCATAACACCTTTTCCCCTCATTCAGGATCGCCAAGTAAAATCGCAGTCTATAGTACATTATGTGACACAGTGCTCTCCAATCTGAAGCATAGATTAATTAATCCCTGATAATACCTTTTTTCTTCATCTCCACGAAATTTTCACCCGGTAGTCTGAAAGCCAATTGTAATTGTGCGTGACTGCTTTCGATCATAGATGTCTGCGATCTCTTTCTCACGTTAGGTGGTTTAATAAGGTAAGTAATGTTGACGTTAGGCGTAGAGTGTTGGGTAAAGAGGGAAAATCAATCGACGGGGCTATAAAGTTACATAGACTAAGATGGCTAGGTCACGTGCTGCGCATGCCTAACCACCGCCTCCCCGACGGGCTTTGCTAGCTGATATAGGTGAAGGTTGGAAAAGAGCCAGTGGTGGCCAAACAAAAACATGGCCCATCAATCCATGAAATCCTTGACAGTTAAACTGAGTCAGGTAGGGAGATGTAGACTTTCGGGTTGGGGCCCTCGGGACTCTAGGAATCAGTGGCTGGAGACAATAGGTGACATGGCTCAAAATCGTTGTCAATGCGCGCAGATGTATTCAGTCTCTGTAATCTTTCATATTTCTTTCTACCATTACCCATTCTGTTTCGCTCTTATACCTGTCAAACTCTATTGATTCTCTTCACTCATCTTCTTGTCTACCTCTGTGTGCTATTTGGAACGTGGCAACTCGAACTGCTGCACTTCGGTGCCAAGTTCTATGTTGAATCCAGACAGAGACGACAGAATTGTGGTGAGTACATTTTACCGCCATTCAACGAACACAATTAAGACAATAACAAGAACTAAGAAAAACAGGATACATTGTGTTGATGTAAATTCAGCTGGCTCATTGATTCAAACAGGTAAGTAGTTTAATTTATGAGTCTTTGTGAGCATTGATATCAGTAACGAAGGAATTGTGCTATTATCCTCGGTTTTAGATTAGACTGTATAGACCTATCTGTACGAGATTGAGCACGGGACTAGTACAGAAACCAATAACTCATTTTCCACAAATTTGTTATGTTATTAAAAGGTTCTTAGTACGGTGAAAAGTTACATTGCAAACTTTACACTCTTTATATTACAGTAAACATAAAATCAGTAGCGATATCAAAATTCAAGAATAGACCTGACCAACATTACTGGTAGTAGCTCATGTCTAGAATGCTCACCATGCCCTCACACCACAGTTCAGGTTCGAATCCCACAGTCGACTCTCACTCCTTAATGCCTAGTCACCCTAGAGGTCGTTCGCTGCCGAAATCTTAGGACGGATACAGAAGGCTCATTTTGGCATTTGCCAAATTACACTCTTGTATTCTACCCATCCTCCTTTACTGCTCCCCATTAGTCTTTCCTGGGCTACTTAAGAAAGACTTTGCTTCGCTGAGAAGGGCACTAAAAGCTGTTAGTAGGGCAAGTGGGTTATCGTTAAACCAACTGGTGAACACTATTGTAGATAGACATATTATGTCATGTAAGAAACTAGCGAATACAATATTGTCGGACCCCAAGCATCCTCTCTATACGCATCTATCTCCTTGCATTTCATCTGGAAGAACTAGAAGCAGCTACAGGAGGCTATATGCTAGGACTACCAAATACAAAAACTCCACAATACCATATCTGGCACAGCTGTTATGTGATGAGAAATCCGTTAGGTATGACACGATAAACTTACTGCGGCACTCTAACAAATAGTCCCATTAGTTTTTGTTTTCCTTTCCTCGTTACTATCACACTGTTGTTCTCATCTAGTACCACACATCAACTTTATATTTCAAATCCTGTGTTGCATTGTTTGAAATGAAATACTCTACGTTGTTTTTTTTTCTTAAATTTTAATATTTATTTATTTTATTTATTTATAACTAATTTATTTTATTTTTATTTATTTATCTTTGATTTTTTAAAATCTTATATAATTTATGAGGTAATTAGATGCAATATACTGTAATGCACGCTGAAAATTCCATACCTGTACCACAAATACTGTTTGGAATAAAGCTGTTATTATTATTATTATTATTATGTACATTTTACCGCCATTCAACGAACACAATTAAGACAATAACAAGAACTAAGAAAAACAGGATACATTGTGTTGAATGTAAATTCAGCTGGCTCATTGATTCAAACAGGTAAGTAGTTTAATTTATGAGTCTTTGTGACGCATTGATATCAGTAACCGAAGGAATTGTGCTATTATCCTCGGTTTTAGATTAGACTGTATAGACAACTATCTGTACGAGATTGAGCACGGGACTAGTACAGAAACCAATAACTCATTTTCCACAAATTTGTTATATGTTATTAAAAGGTTCTTAGTACGGTGAAAAAGTTACATTGCAAACTTTACACTCTTTATATTAGAGTAAACATAAAATCAGTAGCGATATCAAAATTCAAGAATTAGACCTGACCAACATTACTGGTTAGTAGCTCATGTCTAGAATGCTCACCATTGCCCCTCACACCACAGTTCAGGTTCGAATCCCACAGTCGACTCTCACTCCTTAACTGCCTAGTCAGCCCTAGAGGGTCGTTCGCTGCCGAAATCTTAGGACGGATACAGAAGGCTCATTTTGGCATTTGCCAAATTACACCATCTCTCTCGCCTGGTAGACGTGATATCCCGCTGCTTATTGATTAAAGGATGTGCGCATGTACTGCTCAGAAGTTCGCTCCATCCTCCTTTATGGCTATGAGAAATGGCCATTGAAAGTGGAAGATATGAAAAGGTCGTAAGTGCCTGCCTTCTATCTCCTGTGTATGTTAGGTGGTACAATAGGGTGAGTAATATTGAGGTTAGACTTCGGCTGAGTGCTAGGTAAGGAGAGAAAATGTTAGCTGACTTAGAATCGACCAAATTGGAAAAGAGCTGGCGTGGTAGTCAAATCAAAACACAGTTTCATCAGTGAATAAAATAAACCCATAACAGTTAGCTTAAGCTAGATACATAGGACCCTATAGAATTCCTGGTTGGGATCCCCGGGATGGAAAGAACCAATGACGGCGACTGGAGACAATTAGTGATATGGTTCAAAATTCTCGTTGTCTATGACAGCACAGCTGCATTCACTCTCTATGATTTGTCATATCCAATAAAACCCGATTGTCCTTCCACATTACTCTTCCATTTCCTTCACATTTCGGTTTATTATCTCTCCTATGATGAACCTCTCTTTGCCCTCTTCTCTTGCTTTGTATGTTACGTGCAAGGAGAATGGCAACTCGAACTGCCGCACTTCTGTGAAAAGTTCTATGTTGAAATCAGTCATATATATATATATATATATACGCATACCTACAGTAACTGAACAGCTCACACCAAGGAATTAACTAAGAAAAAACCTTCTGGCAACAGTAAAGAATAGATACCACAGTCGAATAATCTGGGACCAAGCAATCAGATCTGTGAGCATTACATATGGATGTTTTTCATAATCTTCGCTGCAAACTTTATCCAGATTCAGGGTTGAGGTTAAGGTAAAAGTCCAATGAGTGATCTGATTGGTCGGTTCAAGGTCATTTGACAGGGTGCAGCAGGTCGGGTGTGAGGACAAATACTCGCCGAAGACATTGATTATCGGTTGCGCTATATTGTGAATTGGCAGAAGTTAGAATTCATGGGTCATTGGTTCGTGTCCCACCCAGTGGCTTAATGGTCTACGTGCTCGCCTCGTAACCGGGAGGTCCTGGATTCGAACCCCAGTGGATGCGTACTGCTGAAGAGTTCCAAACTAGGGCGGAGGAAACAGCTGTCCAGTACTCCCAGGTTTTCCAATGGTTCTATGACCAATGTCAGCTCATGATGAATTCCTGCAACCAAACAACCAAATCCCTACAAACCAATACTTGGTGTTTATTCTTCAGTGTTGCCGATATCAAGTAGACATCCAGCAAACTTACGTGAATAGTGTAAAACATTTGGAGGACAATGAAACAGCCGATGAATCCCGTGTCCTGAATAAGTTCGCACTACAGAGAATCCACCAAGTGAAGCATTCTTTGCAATTACATCACCCATTTCACGATATTTAACACCTGGGAGTACTGAAATGCAAAAAACATTCAGTTGGTTAATAATCAAATAAACACATAAATCTATACAGATCGATAAAAACTTTCTCGAAAGCGATAAACGTTAAGATTCCAAATATTCTAAATACCTATGAGCCTATAGATTTGCTCATTGTTTAAAAATTCTGTTGAAATAATGGCACTGTATAGTGCTAGTTCAAATATTGTCTAATTAATCAGACGAGTTCGCAGTGAAGCAGAGCAGATTTCCAACATATAAGGTGCTTGATTCAACGAACTACATTCACTGCCTTCACAAGGCGGTAGGTGGAGTTGCCATGTCCCTCAAAAAAGTAAAAGGGCGAAAGTGAACGTCTGACGCATACAACAGAACTGACTGGTGGACATGCTGATCTACATGGGGAAGCTTGAAAAACCTGATTCCAAACGCATGGTGCATGTGCACATGGGCTCCAGAATCCAAAAGGATCGAATGGACATCATCAACCATTGGGACGCAGTTTCTAACGCTGCCTTGTGAACCAGACTTCGAGTAAAAGGTTCCGTTGATGACCTCCTTAAAACAACCACGTGCTGCAGTCTATGCATCCGGGTGCGTGCATTCGAACTCCTAACAATACGTGATTTTCGTGCAGCCACCAGTCGGTGCTATTAACGGAGAGTACTTGTCCTCGTTCCCAACCGCATGGTGACAACTTTTCACTAAAATTGCCGGAAACTCCATCCTGTAGGTAGTCACTAACGAGCACCAGATTAATCTTCAAAAGTTTGTTTTTTAGGGATTTCATTTGTTTTCAAGTTTAACCACAGATTGATATCAGTTAGAGAACCATTGAAATGATCCAGTGGTTCTCTAACTGATATCAATCTATGCTCAAAACCTGGCAAGTGTATATGATAAATAGCACTGAGAAATACAACTATATTCCGAAATAAACAGATACACAGTAGACGAGTGTGGATGACATTTGTGAAGGAGTAAAGCAATTATATAAATAGGTATAAGAAGAAAACATATCTAATATAACCGGGGTAATGCATCCTTACAGAATGTGAAAAGTCTCAGTCATAGCTGAACACAATTTCATGAACTATAACAATACAAGTGGCACAAGAAGAGGAGATGCAGCATTGACAGGAACATTTCTACCATGATGGTGAGCTACTCAGAATGGTGGCCACATTGCAAAAGCTGACTGGTAGAATTCAGTCTGCACCAAACAAAGGAATAGCTAGACAGACACATCACACTAGTTACTAATGTCTAATCAAAATACCCACTACAGTCCTACAGGAGGTCAATTGCGAACCCGAATAGCTCAGTGTTAACGTCTCTGACTGCAGGTGGCACTGGGTGATACGGGTTCAAATCTCAGTTGTTGCAGATACATCTTGGTTGATGAGTGCCCATTAACACGAAACCTAGGTAAGGTAGGGCTTCCTACCGATTGGCCCCCAACTAAATAATATCATCAAGTCTCGAACAACAATAGAAACAGTTGACAGTGTTGCTTAATAGATAGATATATAAGGTTTCAAATGACTCTGATAAAACATTTAATTCACTGTGTGTGATAGATTTAATAAAGAGTTGACAACCAATCAGTGTTCAGCTTTCAAAAAGAGTGGGAAATACAAGGCGGAAAAAAAATACGCCATGAACGCGCAAAAACAACAAAACATCGTTGGTTAATTAAAGGTTGTATTCAGGCTAATTATCAGGGCTAATTAATGTAAACGGCGTACGAATAATATTATCACCTACCAGCATCCATAGACTTGACTAAACATTTATAGGCATTTTTAACTAGCCGTACTGAACGATCATCCGGTTGACCAACAAATACTGTCTCATTCACATCCCCATGAAATCCGTCAAAGTATGTGGTTATATCAACTGAAATTAATAGTTATAATAACAATATCAGATATGAGAAACAAACTTAAAGATAAAAAGCTGATGGACATTTTTTTCAAACTATAAAAACAGTACGCTGTCGGTTGACACAAAATGAACCAAAATAATCATAAGCTTTGGAGTGAAATCATTTACACACATGATTCGGGTAAATTAACACAATATTGAAGTCATTAACTGTTGATTCGAGTTATTTAGTTAGAATGGTGCTATGGTGACACGTGCTATACGGCTGATCCCTAAAAGTACGATCTCGATACATCAATGATTCGGTGGCAGAACGATCACCAACCGAGGACTCATTATGTGGTCCGGGGATCGACCGACGCATTCCTAACCCTCGCTAAACTGGTAGTAAGACGTGTAAAGAAGGAGAGTCGGGAGTAAGGTCAGCAACCCCCCAACCCCGTAAAATTTATAAATGATGAAAACCCCTGCTACCAAAAATTGAAAGCTCTAGCTTGAAGCTCTGTATGTTCCACTCGGAACGTAAAGAAATAAAATTTTCCAAAGTATGATAACTTTTTATTCGTTTCTCGAGTTTGACCACGGAGTGATATCAGTTTGAGAACCATTGAAAAGCAGCACTAGAGTACTGGACAGCTAGCTGTTTCATCCTAGCTTGAGAATCATCGGCAGTATGCACCCATTGGGGGTGAGGATGGATTTCCCGCCGACGACATTGGTTCGTGACCGCAATAAAATTGTAAAATGGTAGAAGTTAGAATTCATGGGCCGGTCTCAGCGTCTGAATGGTCTACAAACTCGCCTTGTCACCGTAAGGTCCTGAGTTCTAACCCTGGTTGTGGGTGCATATTGCTGATGAGTCCCAAACTTGGATGAAACAGCTGGCTGTCCAGTACTCACTCCAGTGATGGTTTTCAATGGTTCTCTAACTGATATCTATCCATGGTCAAACTCGAAAAACAAATCAGATCCTTACAATTCCTTTACGTTTTGAGTGGAACATGGGGCTTCAACCTTTGTTTTCTTTTACGGGTTAGAGTTGTCAGTCTCACGTCAAACCTTCGTTCATTACCGGGTTTACTTCTGGCTAAACGAGGTTTAGGCGTGTCGGCCACAAAATGGAAAGCGGACAACGTGCGTGGTTGCAGGGCATTTCACCAATGAAGCACCGACAACGCACATAAAATTATTAGTAAGTAATACTATTGGTAAGAATCTGTCTTTATTTTAAACCAATGGGTTTAAGTTTGGAATTCCGCTTCTGACACTTTAGATTGGACGACAAGGTATCGTATCATTAAACCTGCCTGCCATATACGAAATTTATTTCAGGTAAATAGTGAACATCACTAAGACTTGCTAGAACACCTCAGGAAATCCATCTTAACATAGGACAGTTCTTTTATGCTATAACGGTGTGTGCCGTCATAACCTATTTTGACGGGGCTATTTAATTCAGTGCAGCCATAATAAATTTTGACAACCAATGGACCCAAATTCTAGTACAATTCAGCACTGTGTGTTTAGTCATATTAATTCTGAACCAGGTGTCCTTCAGTTTCGTGAAAGTTCAATCATTGTTACAACAGTAACAGATACTGTTTGAAGACTTCCAAGTGAAACTAATCGAAGTGATTACTCATCCAATCATCCTTCTACTGAGATTATTCATTCTGTTAACCAATTAGCCATAGAAGCATAGAGCAGTTTATCACTTGATGATGGATTATTTGCACAGTTGAATTTCAATAAATCCATGAAAATTAATGTCGGGAATCAGATTGACAATCGGGATGCATCAAAATCTAGTCAAGGCACCATTTGTTCAAAAGAACGAAGATATCATCATTTCAATTGTAGAGATTTTCACCCCCCCCAGTTTCTCCTATATCACGGAGAAGGAAGAATGCACCCCAGTTCCCAGTACGTGGTCAGGGTGCTGAAAAGACTTCTGGAGATATTTTGAACTCACTTAGTGAAATTACGTGTAATGTTCAATTGATCTCAAAGAATTTCAAAGATTTATGTTATCATATCAGTCTTCATGATTTGGACATGTTGGGCATTGACTCGACTGATAAACTATCATCTTGGGAAATACTTTTTGCAGATATCGATTTCGATGAAACAATGCAAATTCTTTGTAAAGCTTTTGAGAAAAATGCATCAGTATTCAATATACGCTAGAAATGTTTGATTCTGACCGAGGAACAATGTGATGACTTCCTTATTTTTGCTAGTAAAGTCAACTGTGCTCCCACACTATTTCGTGGGAGAGGAATAATAGAGAGAGAACATCCACAACTACAAATGTCGTTCAGTGGTTCCCCAGTCGGAAAATTTATTAAAAAGGAGAAGTGTTAGGACGGGCTGACTATCTTCGTTGGAAGTGCAATTATGATTGATGCATGCGCCGACATAACAACCTGACTGAACAATTTCTGATTGATTTATCGTGGAGGATCTTCAAGGTTATAATGGATATTGATTATCCATTTATGATTCAAATTTCAACGGATGCACAGATGATATATGTGTATACTCTGGATTGTAATGAAAAAAAGTTTCTGTTTAGTGGTTGTGGTTGCCACACTTCAGTCTGACTTCTGTGTCTACCTCAATATGGGGAGTATTTCCCGAGTGCCCAGTTGTCTGGAGGGGGGTTGTAGTTAGGGCAGACAACAACCAAAAAATCGATAACACTCCGTTACAACATTTTAATAACATGGCGATTAAACCATATGCATAAGATGCATCAAACATTGTGGAAATAGTGACATTGTTATTTAGAAGTGTAATTACGTTTGTGTAAAAGCAGCCTACTTCTCCGCCACCAGGTGTAAACAATTGTTGTTGACTGATTTTACTGGATCGAAATATTCCTTCTCTGTTGACATGCCAACCACTGACTAGTACGCATGTTTCAACGACGTCTGAAGATTAATATGATGTCGTTTGGCGAATGGTGACTCTTAGTGGAAACCAGTAGATGAGTATTTCGTCTTATTTGGGACTCGTTGTCTGGATTTACTTACTGTAATCTCCAATCACTGATGATATTCCCACTGCGATGGTCTCGGGGCTTCAGTTTTAGCGACGACACCATCACACACTGGAAATTGCAACAGGTACATCCAGACAACAGGTCCCAAAATAGAATGAAACGTGCATGTTGGATTCCAAAACTAGCTATTATCCGCTGAATGGTTGTAATAATTTCTGCTCTCGTCATACATTTAAGTATATATACACAAATATTCAGCAATTAGCTGGCAATTTTATTTATCCACACTGTTAGATTTTTCTATGGTCAGCGGCAGAAATTGACTACATGTAGTTTCCTCCTTAGCCGAAAAATTTAAAGAAAATCAAAAATTTATCAAAACGATTTAAGCTATTGAATTCCAAATAAGTAGTGTAACTAAAAAACAGCATAAATGTGATAAACACAAAAAAGAAGTACATCCATCCACCGTATAAAAATAGAAATGCAAATTAGTGAAGTCTACAATCAGAATAATATTTCGCTTACTGTTTAAAATATCACCATTTTCTAAAGGTCTCATGTCTGGTATCCCATGGCATATCACTTCGTTCACAGATCTGAAACATTAAACAGATACGTGGTAACATTATTTATTGCTTCAGTTAGTTTTCACGTTTGACCATGAATTGATATTAGTTAGGGAATCCTTGAGAACCAGCACCTGAGTACTGGGCAGTTGTTTCATTCTACTTTGGGACTCATCATCAGTACGCATCCAACGGATTTAGAACCCATGACATCCCAGTTACCAATGAAGCTAGCTCATAGACCATTCAGCCACTGGGACCCAACTACTCACTGGCCAGTACATCAATTCTAAATTCGAATAATTTGTGATTTTAGCATGGCTGCCACCAGCTAATGTGTCATCAGCATTGAGTGTTTGTCTTTACTCCCAACCGGGTAGACCCGCTGGTCACGACTCCCCACTAGAACTCTAGGCAACTCCGTCCTGCAGACAGTCACTAGAGAGCATCAGATTCGTCTTCAAGAGTTGGTTTGCAGGGATTTGATTTGTTTATCAGTGTGACCAAATCTTGAAAACAATTCCGATGCTCGGTAGTGACCGGTTACAGGACGAAGTTTCCTGGATCCCAGTACCTCCTTCATGCTAGGCGAGCGTTCTACTACTTGAACCAGTACCCGGAGTTCTGGTGAGAAGTTGTGTCCAGTGGGTTTGACCAGGTCGGGAAAGGGGACAGATACTCGCCCAGTGGGTGTGTACTGCCGATGACTCCTATACTGGGGTGACGAAACAGTTATCCAGTACTCCCTAGTTTCCAATGCTTCCCTAATTGATATCAGCCCGTGGTCAAACTTGAAAATAAATCAAATCCCTACAAATCAGTTTCTGTTATGATTTATTCACCCTTTATTAAGATGTATAAAAAACAATTACATAACGAGTTACGAAGACGAATTACACAAATTACACCTGAACATCTGGAGCCTCAGTCAAAAAGTCAACTTAGATCCCTTTTTCACATTTATATGTGCCTAAATAGATTGTAGCACTTAACTTCACGTCTATCGCAATCGCCCTTAACTCGAATAAGAAGCAGTGAAGACGGTACTTTAAGTGAACATAGAGAAGACAGAGTTGATGAAGATACCCGACAACCATCAGCAACAACAACAAGCAGCAAAACACTGTCACAGCGGGAGAAATCTGAAGGAAGTCACTTCTTTCAATTATCTAGGTAGGATCATCTGAACTACAGGCAGCGCAGATAGGAATGTCAAACCTGGATATCGGAAGGGCAAGACAAAGCTTCAATAATCCAAAATCACCCTGGAAGTCTACTGCACCCAGCATAATGAGCAAGACTCAGATTTCCAACATTAACGCCAAGTTAGCCAATGCTTCCAGATGGTTCAGGGAATTGGCGTGTCACCAGAATCATTTCCAACAGGCTACTGTAGACTTTTATCAACAGCTGACCCCTTCGCTGGCTCGATGCTGAAGATAAGATGACCGGCAAGATAGAGTAAGCAACAAGGAACACTGGGGACGAACCAATCAAGGACCTATTGTTCAACAAACATTCCGAAGAAAGTGGAGATGGATCGGACAAACTCTGCAAAGAGCATTGAGTGATACTGCGCGCCACACCCTCGAGTGGACTCAGATAGGAATCAAAGAGTTATGCGCCTGAGAGACAGGGAGAAGATGAATGCGTATGAGCAATCATGGAACCAGCTAAAGATGGCTGCAGGAAGCGGGATGAGATAGACATGTGTTGTAGAAAACCTATGCTCAGCTTGGAACCTGTGGGAATAATAAAATGAACAAAGTCGAAAAACGTACATACATATATACATACTTTACGCGGGACTGTGGCTCACACCGGTTAAAGCGCTCGAGCTTCGACCAGTGGACCAGGGGTTCGAACACCGATTCGCCTATCTGGATTTTAACAGCCAGGTAGCATCACTAGCCGTCATACAACATGCGTGGGTCATTTTCAACTAAATGGAATTTCAATCGGCTATTGAGTAACATTTCTTTCTCATATATATTGTCTTTTTATTGGGCAACTAAGCATTTGTGTCGCAGTCAAACTGTTAAGACGTAAAATGAGAAGAATAATATGAAACAGTTTCATTGCTTGAAAACTAATGGTTATTTTTCAGCCAATCAAAAAAGACTTACGTGCAACATGATTTTGGAAAATTGAAATAATTCAAAGGAGAGGGGTAACAATCACGATCCATACATGCCTAAAAATGAATACGACAAACAGTCAGTCACTATATCATATATATGAAGGTATTTAAGGTTGGACGTTTGGACATAATGATTCCCTTATGATAGGGAGTTATATCACCCTCAGTGGGTTAATAATTGACGCAATCTTATCAAGTGTTGGTTTAAATGAATTTCGTTAGTTTCAGGTTTGCTTACGCGCTGATACCAGTTAGAGAACCATTGGAAAACCAGCACTGGAGTGCTGAACAGTTGTTTCGTCCTGGTGTGGGACTCCTCACCAGTACATCCCCACTAGGGTTCGAACCCAGGACCTTCCGTTTACAAGACGAGCTTGTAGACCATTCCAGCCACTGGCACCCGATTCAATGGTTCATAAATCCAAACTTCTGCCAAATTCTGCGAGCTCGCCTTGTAACCGGAAGATCCTGGGTTCAAACCCCAGTGGGGATGTACTGGTGAGGAGTCCCAAACCAGGACGAAACGACTGTCAAGTACTCCAGTGCTGGTTTTCAATGGTTATCTAACTGCTATCAATCCGTAATCAGCAGTGAAATCTCATTACGCGTACAAAAATCACCTTTTCCTTTTTTCCATGGTTTCCCCAACGGCAGTGTCATTCCTGATTCACTTTATATTACTAGACAGTTTCAACATATATCCACTGAAAGCTGAGTATCATTATCGCCTTCATAGCAATGTATGTGGTAAAACTTCTTTTTTATTCATTTTATTCCTTTACGTTCGCAGCGGAAGATGGGACTTCCAGTCAGAGCTTTGAAATTTCGATGGCAGTGGTTTTCTTTTTACGGAGTGGAGTTGCTAACCTCACGCCCAACCTCCCTCTCTTTATTATCGGTCTTACTACCTGCTTAGTGAGGTTTAAAAGTGTGTTGGCCGGGGATCGAACCCCGAGAACCACGTTTGGTGCAGTTGATGAACATTCCTACCGCCGAACCACCGGCACATTGTGGTAAAACTACCACGTCAGTAATGCGGATTTTAAGGATAATTTATATTTACATTTGAGTTTACACACCTCTGTCGAATAAGACAATTAGGATACATCTTACGCCTACCACAACATCCAACGTTTGCTTAGAACTCACTTACTTAGCACCAGACCACTACTAGTCAAAGTTATTATTTAAAAAGCTTATAGACAAGAGAGTTAAACGAGAGATTCAAAAGACAGAGAGAGATAATAAACACAAGTGTGAGGGAAGAACAATAAAATTTTATTGAATATGACAAATCACAGAGGGTGAATGCAGCTGCACTGTCATAGACAACGAGAATTTTGAACCATACCACCAATTGTCTCCATCCCGATGACCCCAATCAAGAAAACAGTACAAAATACCGCAGCTTACACTTGAGAATAGGGACATGAACAAAAAGAACAACTAAAGTGCCCACTAGCCTTAATATTTAAGTTGTAATAGTAATAACAACACTGATAAAAACCAGCTAAAGATGACACTAAAATAGAACAGCAATATATTCTCACATACCACTCAGTAATAAGTTATTTAGAAAGAAAATATCTATGGCATTTTGTTATTACGTCATTATTACATTCACCTTTATAATGATAATTACAGTAGAAATTAAGTTTATATATATATATATATATATATATATATATATATATATAAACAATATTTACCTCATGCACAATTCTATCAATTTCATCTGTTGTTACACCGACTTCAACCGCATTCACCGCCTCTTCAAGTACTTCACGTGCAAGCTGGTAATGTGTTGTATACAAAAAGTAAAGCTCATTATTCATCATGATAAAAAGAATCACATGTGTATACGATGAATGAAAACAAACCCTCATAGAATACAAAACACAATACACATATACGTACATATATATACAGAAGGTAGAGAAGCTAAGGATTTCAAAAATATCAGTCATAACATTTTGATACTAATTAAAGCCTTCAAACAGATCATTATCATGTATCAATCAAAAGAAAACAAGACAACAACAAAACTCAATCCAGACATGAATGTTTCTATTGGCAAAGATGTATTGATAGAAAATCATTTTGGTCGCTTGCTTTGTTATCGTGTATAGTATAGAGAGTAATTGATTTGGTCATACTCATTCATTAACCATCAACTCCTACACTTGACAACACTAGGCAGTGTAACTGATTTCGTGTGTCTAATCCTCACTAGTAGCTGGCGATAACATGCCAGCTGTATGACACACCATCAAAGTGTAATTTGAAAACTAAATGCCCCCCTCCAACCAGCTAACACTTGTATGTTTTCCTTTTCAATTTCAATTGCGACATGTTTTACGTGTATCTGTTAGTCTGTTTTCGACATAGAACTTTGCACACATGTGCAGCAGTTCAATTCACCACACTCCCAACATGTAGCACACAAAGCAAGAGAAGAAATGCATAATAGTGACAGTAAACAGAGGTGTGAGGCAAAGGAATAGTAATAACGAAGAACAAAACAGTTTCATTGGAAATCATAAGTCACAAGGAGTGGATGCATCTGCGCCAGCCATTGAGAACGATCACTTTGAGCCATATCACCAATTGTTTCCAACCATTGGTTTTTATCGTCCCGACGACCCCAACCAGTCAGGAAGTCTACACCTTCCTACGTTACTGGCTTAAACTAACTGTTGTGGATTTCATTGAGTAGTGCCATGTTTAGGTTTGACCACCGCTAGCTCTTTTCCAGCCTGGCCCTATGTCAGCTAACATTGCCCGTTGTCAAGGAAGGCGATGACTAGGCATATGTAACACATGTCCTAACCATCTCAGTCGACGTATCTTCACAGCCTCGTCTATTGATTTCCTCTGTTTACCTAGAACTCGACGCCTAACCTCAATATTGCTCACCTTATTATACCACTTCACACGGGAGCTAGAACGCAGGCACCTATAATCAAAGACAGATAGCTAATCTTTTCATGTCTTGCACTCTCAGTGGCCAGGTCTCACAGCCATAGAGGAGGACGAAGCGGACTGATGAGCAGTACACCCGCCCTTTGGTCGATAGTCGGATATCTCATCTACGCCAGAGACGGCGTAAACTGGTAAATACGAAACAAGCCTTCTGTATCCGTGCTGAGATTTTGACGAACAGATAGCAATGATAAGCACAACTCTCTAGTCATACAAAACTATTCAACTCAGTGACGCAAACCTTAAAACATCTTAACATTCAACCATTCGAAGAAAAGCATGCTGAAATCTATGGTAATAATATGGCACCTGAATTGACAACAACTATATCGTACAATCGATTAGCAGATTCGATCAATACATAGATAACGAATTGTTTTGTAATCGATAACAGTTTAATAGCTGGCCGATGCACACTTAATAACTCCAACCTATGAAGTTACAAAACATAACTAAAAAAGGCGATTAAAAACTGTTAGTAGTTGGTCAGCCAAGCGGCTTAACTTGCGAACTAGTATTTACACCAACTCATATGAACGCCCTCACTAATCTGTTGATGTATGGTATTGTTATTTTTTTGGAGAGGCTATCTCAATGAGTGTCTGTCTGCTGTTTTCGTCATAGAACTTTGCACCGATGTGCAGCATTTCAAGTCGCCACACCTCACTCAGCACACAAAGCCAGAGAAGAGAGTAGAAAGAAATGCGAAATGGAGACAGTAAACAGAGATATGAGGCAAAAAGTATAGTAATATTTAAGAACAATATAGTTTTATTGGGTGTTATAAATCACTAAGAGTGGATGTATGTGCGCCATCAACGAGAACTATTTTGAGCCATATCACCAATTGTCTCAAGCTTTCATCAGTGTTCACCGTGTTCACGATTTCATTGACTGAAATCCACAACATGAGTGTATTTTGATTGGACACTAGTAACTAGTGTAATGTGTCTAGTCTTTTCTGACTGAATTCTATCAGTCCGTTAGGTGTGCAATGTGGTCATCATTTTAGGTAGATCGCCATCACGGTGCACATTGATTTGATGATATTAGATAGTTGGAGGCAATCGGCAGGATGCCTTGGACCTAGGTTTCCTGCTAGTTGGCAATCATCAGCAAGGCGTTCACTCGAAATACCCACTACATCCCTACAAGAGGCCGACCGCGAGCCCGAATAGCTCAGTAGTAACGTCTCTGACTGCAGAACTGGGTGGCACGGGTCCGAATCTCAGAAGGGACGTGAGTTCCTTCAAGGTTGCAGATACACCTTGCTAACGAGTGCCGACTAGCACGAAACCTAGGTCTATCCGGGCTTCCTGACGATCGCCTCCAAGTGTCTAGTATCAACAACATGAGCGTATTAAACATTTTCACTGAGACCATTAGAACATAACCTATAAAGAAGTGTCGTGACTCACCAACTTAAGAGACTTTTTTTCAAATAGTTTGTCTTAAATCCTCAAAATTCATTCCGCGCAAACTTCATATATAGCTTACACCTTAACAATATTAACCTCTACTGAATAGGTACCTTGTATTATTGCTAAGTTTATAAAGTATAAAGGCGTAAGATTTACAGTTGTTAAATTACTTTAAACCAATCAAAACGAGTACGTCGAGAAACACAGTAAAAGTCTAAAAGATAAATTTTCAGAAATGTTACAAACAAGCATGAAACTGATGAAAGTTATACATGGGATACAATTTGAAAGTTAACTAAAACTTCCTCACACTCTCAAAATACAATGAATTACCTTTCCTGAGACACGCATACATTCAATTTCATCGTCATCTAAGACTGTAATGCTGTAGGAACTCTTCGCCTTGCGTTCTGAAAGCGGTATCCCTGTTTAGTCAGTAAAAGAAAGAAACAATCAACAGTTACCTGTATCAGCATAGTCTGGTCTTTGAATGGAACTTTTCACTTCCCTTTTGGGTGTCTAAAAATATCGCCGTTGGCAGAAAAAATATAAACTTACCTTTCTAAAAGGTCGTAATGGACCTGTAAATCTATAGTTGATAAACTGCTCGTCTTCATAGGTTTGTTCTATAGCAAAATAAGAAATTAAATAATGTACACGCGAACCAGTAGTAACATGTGCTGCTTTATGCGTTTTCCAAAATTGTTTGAAACATTCCTCAAGAATAAAATTTAAAGCATTTTAATTGAATACTTGTGAACAAAAGAAAGATGTCGTTATCCCCAACTTAAGGCAAACTGGGCATTTTAAAGTGGATGGTTTGCCGCATGACGGAGTTATACAGACGTTAGCCATAGTACTCAAAAAACCTGTTGAATACTTGATTGAATGTACAGGTCTAAAAATATGAAAGCATATATGATGTTAGTAAACCATTCATTGAATGCTAAGAGATATCTCAGTCAGCCAAAAATCACCGTAAATTGCTATTACACAAAGAAAATACACAGACTGGATAGTAATATACTGTTAAATTCCGAACAAATAATCGCACTTTTACTGCGGGTGGGAAAATACTTGCAAGTTCTAGTTTGATTACATAAGAGGAAAAATTTCATCTTTTATAGGGACACAGAAATGATGTGTTTTAAATTGTGACTAGATTCAGTGTTGATTCCATGTCAGCGAAGAGTAGTAAAACCACATTATTGACGTTTGTGTGATGTCAATAACTCAAAATAAGTCTCAAGAATAAAAGCTACAATTGCAAAGTGAGGAATAAAGTATTACTCTGAATAAAATAGTGATGCTACTTGTACCTTCATCAATCTAGCTACGTGAAAAAGGTTGTATAAGAAATTAGTATGAATCTAATAGACAATTAATGACTGGATAGGAATTATTCATCAATGTAGTAGACACCTGACGGCAGCAGGAAACGATACTAAATGCCATTCATGACACATATTTCATACATCTACGCCTTTAAATTGAATAACTTTATTGATAACAATAGGCCATAACTTTCAGCAGAAATCCACCTCAGGGATAAATCACTTGGAATTTTGTTTTGATACATGACAGATAGTATGTATGTATGTAGTATGTGTTACACGTAACACTTTTGGTCAGTTTTACCAACCGATGTACTACCTATATGTGACAGTTACCAGATAATCTCCAAGGTTACTTTGAGTGAATTCAAGCACGTTAGACTTGATAGGCTATTGGTGAATTTATGTGTACACTGCGAAGAACAGTACCCAGTAAAACCGAGACAGCTATCAGTGACACCCTGATTCTACTGGTTATCTAACTGACTACTGCAGTAATCGTTAACACGTTAACAAAAAAATATATCTCTGAATGTTACTATTCCGTTATTACCGTGTTACAACAAGTTAGTTTGCCATGCAACTTAAGCATCATATAATACACACAAGTAACATTATTTCTCTAGAATCATTCATAGACAGTATTTCTCCAGAGGTTTAAAAGAATTCAGGGCTAAATATCATATTCTCCTTGAATTCCATCAGGATGTTAGGGTTGTTCACGTCACTGAACATGATTTGAACCACTCTTAACTAACATCCCTTAAGTACTATAGCATCCTCCTTATGAATTTAGGACCAGTCAAACTATGATAGTAAAAAATTAAAAATGCCCTCTAACGTTCACTGCAAGCGATGCGCCGCAAACGTCCAAATTTCAATAACAAATTCACCAACCAAGGCGAACCTTCTCCTTTAATCACAATAATTCCCACAACCAGCAGCAGTGGTAGGTGATTCCCCGGAGTTATTAACCACAACGAACACTGGATCCTGACCCTCACTATTTAAATCGATTTATTTAACTGAAAGCTCACGGTCAAGCATCCACGCCATTCGGCACGCCATCGTGTTACTCTCGTTCGTCCGCGCACGATCCAAAGCTAGTTAAGCAATCATTTCGCACTCTGATTTGGTTCCGAAATATACTTAGTGGTTTGGATGATCAATTCTGGTGCTTTCCTTTGCCATTGGTCTACGCGCAACAAATGCCATAGAAGTTGTGGGTATCCAATATCCAATATCCTGATTACGAGCTAGTATAAACCAGTGATTTCTTTGAGCTCGCTTCTTGGTTGTGAAGTAGAGGTTCCAGATCTTCGGTGAGCTTCTGCGTAGTAAGTCCCGCCACTCGACTGCTTTAGCTCTGGTAGACTCCAAGAGGAGTGGTGCGGGGATTGGTCGAGATATGGTTTGTAGTTTGCAGTATGTTAGGACTGTATTGCTGCCGTGAATGGAGTTTGACCTAACTCCCGTCGGTAATTCGGTGTAGTCATAAAAGCAGAATAGTAATAATAATAATAATAATAGGTTGTAGTGTAGATGATATAGGTTGAGATAAGTGGAATAATAAAGGTGACCTAAGGAAAAGATAGAGTGAGAGAAGGCAGAATAGGTCGTGGGGATTTAGTTTGTATGCTTATCCATTGACAGTGTGGTTTTAAGTTTTATGAGGATAAGCCATTGAGACACAACCTTGCATTTCTGCATGATTGTCTAGCTTCCGCTTAAAAATCTCCAGAGATGGTGCTGTAGTCACGGCCGCCGATAAAGCGTTCCAGAGACGGCAAACACGAAGCGAAAAGAAATGTGATCGCACTCGAGTCTTTGGTCTCTGGTGTGCTATCCTTAGCGGGTTACCTCGTGGAAGCCTATAATCACTTAATGACAGGATGCTTTTATTTGGGTGGGTCTGGTCATTTAAGATCTGGTAGACGGTGATGAGGTCTCCCCTGTGCCTTCGGTAACTAAGTGTGAAAAGACCTAATTTCTTTAGTCTTTCCCCATGATTTGTTGCGGAGGCCGATCACCCATTTTGTCGCTCGTCTCTGGACACTTTCTAGAATGTTAGCATCCCTTTTGAGTAGCGGAGGTGCAATGATATTATGCACCTCAAGGTGTGGCCCCACATATGCCTTATATAACCTTAAGAACAGTTCGGGAGTGAGAGCTCCCAGCTGCCTATTCATAAAGTGTAAAGTTGCGTAGGCTTTGGCGACGTCGCTCGCGTAATTTCCACTGGTGTTTATCTTTTCTGTTAGAATAAGACCTAGATCTCGCTCTGATGGAACGCAACTCAAGTTCTGGCCACCAAGGGTGTAATCTACACTCTGTGACCTGCCCGAATGAAGTTGCACTACTTTGCACTTCTTTAGGTTGAAAAGCATTCCGTTAGCCAGAGCCCAGTTTCCCAGAGTTTGCAGGTCAGCCTGCAATCTGTGTGAGTCCTCCGATGAGTTTATTGCTATCCAAATCTTTACGTCGTCAGCGTAAAGAAGCGCAGAGCAGTTTAGTTGCGGGGGGGCAGGTCGTCGATAAAAATCAAAAACATCAAAGGGCCCTAGGATAGAACCCTGAGGAACCCCTGATGCCGAGGTGTGCCAGGATGATCGGGTGCGGTTGACTTTGGTGCAGAATTCTCTCTCGCCTGAGTAATCTTTCAGCCATGCGAGAAGTGCTCCAGAAACACCCGCCTTGCTTATTTTGTGAAGGAGCAGACCATGGTGAACTGTGTCGAATACTTTCGCAAAGTCGAGAAAGATCACGTGGGCTGGTACTTTTTGGCCCAGGATAGTGTCCAATCGTCCCAAGCTAGTAGAAGATTCGTCACGCAGGATGGCTTATTATTACAAATTTCCCATGACTACTTTTTACATGGAATGCTTCAGACATTACAAAGTATCAGTTCGCTTAATAATGTAATATATATTTCATACAAATTTTAAAGAAATCTACATAAAAATGCATGCCATTTTTACAGGCACGATCAAGTAAGATATAGTCTCAAATCTCAGATTGTCTACAAGTTAATCATATTTCAACTGTTAAATATTTGATACATATAATACACTCATTGTCTGAACTAGGCCGTATAGTTGTTGAATTGTACAATTGTCCTCCAGGTTGAGCGGGAAAATCCACTTCATTTCGTTTTCATCCCGTGGTTGCAGGCATACGATAACCAACCAATATTGAGGTAAGTACAACTTTTACAAGGGATTGAAAGCTGTTTTAGAAAAGTAAAAGTGCTGAGGTGAATCACTAAATTGTAATGAAATAGGTAAGTGCAAGTATCATTAATAAATGCATTTATAAAGGAAACTCCCTAGGCTGACAACGTTCATTTGCAATGTATAATGCTACACGTATATCTCGTACTATCATGATGTCCACTTTTGGTTTTAATACATTTATCCTCAGTTGTGTCAGTTGTTTTATACCTTTTTGTGCATTTAGTGCACAACCGTACCCTTCAGAGAGTAGGAATATAATAAGTCATAAAGAGCTGTAAAATGTTAGTTTTAATGGAGTAAAATGGGGATCAAGTAAAGACGTTATTAGAAAATAAATGAGATAAGACATTTTGAACTGTTATTTAAAGATCTGACAATGGATAGCAAGTTAGTTTATAAGATGCCCCATAAATCTGTGCAGATCCCGCGTGGTCGCATCTCAACAATAGGCTGAGCGAATGGTATATATTTAAAGGTAGAAGCATGATCTGTCAAGGCGTTCATTATTATCTTTTTCAAGATAAAGATCTAAGCCCTCATAAAAATCAGAAATATCTCGAGCCTTCAAATTGCATATTGCTGTTCCTGCAGAATGGGGCGATTCACCTTAGTGACCCCCACCATATCTACTGATCAGCTAGCTCCACCCTCCCTCCTTTTTTGATGTTAGGCTCTGAGACTATGATTATTATGGCTACCGCAAATATATTGCTTGGTACCAGTCATGTTCGTACCCCATATTCCATCTCCCTAGCTTTCTTAATGAGTGCTTCCGATAGGTCTCCACGTACATCTTTATGAACAAATTATATATGTGTGCATGCATCCTAATGAACAGATTACTTTATAAGAAGTTAAAACCTTAAAGAGTGAAACGAATAGGTGTTGTGAATAGTGGAGCAAGATTCAGCAGAACACTACAGTTAGGATTCAATGTAGGTAGTAGGAACTGAAGGTAAGGTCGGTTGGCAGGACTTAGTGTACTAAATTATCATGACAGTCTTGTATATAGTAGACATCTGACATTGCAAAGTAACGTGTCTAAACATATTATAAAAGATATTAACAGAAATACTACATAGCTTTAACATTATGAATTTTAGAAAATTATATGAGAATGGGTAATTGTTGACTGAAGATAATCAATTCAACTCAAAAATAGTGCAGTGTATTATGCTAATAATATAAGTATATTCGTAAAATATTAAAAGATATGGTTGCTAATGTAATGGTTTTCGGAAATAATTATACTGACGAACTTATTGAAGATTACAGTGAAGAGGAAACCAGTGAGTTAGTTAAACGGCTACTGTGCAGTTAGTAGTTAAAACGTCTTTTTTTAAAAAGTAAAGGGTAGAAGAGTTTTGAGCACCGGAGCAAATTAAGTCATATTCTACTGAGTAGAGTGTAGTGAATAGTGGTACGATTAGGGATAAGGGTAGGTTGAATGAACTTGGGGAAAATGGTTGGTTGGTTGAGTTTGTTATTGCTAGGTATTCCAGGCCACTCTTCATATGGCATGCTTTAGACATTACAAAGTACCAGTTTGCTTATATTATGGGAGAACTATCACAACTAATTTGGGATTATACATCCAGGAAAATTATAGAGAGTCTTATGAGTTTATAAACCCGATTGAAGAAATATCGATAGGATCTCTACTAAGCTGAATAACCGAACCTTAGGTAAAGGTATGTGGGAGAGATTAGGTTGGTTTTATCACGTTATAGATGAGGTACGGTTGCCGGGGCAAATGAGTTTCCTCAAATCGGGGGTGTTGCACTGGGGTCTGTAGTACTAAGCTAGTTGAGCGGCCCATATGGATAAAGTATGGATAAGTAGACCGAAGCTCTTTTGTTGACAGGAACTCGTTAAGTAGACGCTGGAATTCAGTAGGAGATCGGCAACTACGTACAGTAAATGGAAGTCCGTTCCATAATGCACTGTACTATATTTGAAGAAAAGTGAACGCAGTTTTGTCCAGTACCGGGTTATAGGTAGAGTATTTCCACGATTCCTATAGTAAATATGGGTTGTATTGTTGAAAGCTGTTGGGTCACCGCCACTGATGTAGCCGTGTACGTTGGTGGTCCAGCGGTTAGGACTCTCGCTGATCATGTACATAGCCGGGGTTCATTTCCATGCCGACACAACTGATATCTACGGTCGGCCTGCAAAACTTGGACTACCGATATCATATGCCGAAATTCCATACTTGTACCACAATACTGTGTGGTTTCAAGCTATAATCAAAAAACATCTAAAGGGTGAAATGACAAGGTTAGGATAGTTTCAGGTGTCTTAACCAAAGTGGCTGAAGTCCATATTCTTGGCTCCTATCGGCGTAAGTAGTCCTTCATGTTTGTGTAATAGGTGTCGTGTGGAGCCTCCTGAGTATTTTCAGC